GCCCAGAATTGCACGCAGTATTCCAACTGCGGTCTGACCAGTGCCCGATAGAGGGGAAGTATCACCTCCTTGGACCTATTCGTCATGCATCTGCTGATGCACGATAAAGTGCCATTGGCTTTTTTGATGGCTTCGTCACACTGCCGACTCATGTTCATCTTGGAGTCCACTAGGACTCCAAGATCCCTTTCCACTTCCGTGCCACCCAGCAGGTCATTCCCTAGGCTGTAGGTGTGCTGGACATTTTTCCTCCCTAGGTGCAGCACTTTGCATTTCTCCTTGTTGAACTGCATTCTGTTGTTTTCTGCCCACTTGTCCAACCTGTCCAGGTCTGCTTGCAGCTGTTCCCTGCCCTCCGGCGTGTCCACTTCTCCCCACAGCTTTGTGTCATCTGCAAACTTGGACAGAGTACATTTCACTCCCTCGTCCAAGTCACTGATGAAGACATTAAAGAGTATCGGTCCAAGGACCGAGCCCTGCGGGACCCCACTGCCCACATCCTTCCAGGTCGAAACCGACCCATCCACCACGACTCTCTGGGTGCGGCCCTCCAGCCAATTCGCCACCCACCGGACTGTGTAGTCATCCAAGTCACAGCCTCTTAACTTGTTCACCAGTATGGGGTGGGATACCGTATCGAAGGCCTTCCTGAAGTCTAAGTATACGACATCCACCCCTCCTCCTGTGTCCAGGCGTTTCGTAACCTGGTCATAAAAAGAGACTAGATTGGTCAGGCACGATCTGCCTGCCACGAACCCGTGCTGGTTTCCCCTCAGCATAATTTGTCCTGCCGGGCTCTCACAAATGTGAGCCTTGATAATCTTTTCAAAGACTTTGCCAAGGATGGAGGTGAGACTGACTGGCCTATAGTTGCCCGGGTCCTCCTTCCAACCCTTTTTGAAAATGGGGACCACATTGGCCCTTTTCCAGTCCTCCGGGACTTTGCCCGTGTGCCACGAGCGTTCAAATATTCCAGAGAGACTCTGAGTCTTTCTCCCAACAGTTTTCCAGCCCCCAAGTGCAGAAGAACCAGCTCTTAGCTGGTTCTGGGTTTGCTCTGATGCTACCACTGGCTTTACCCAGGGCAGGGAGATCCAACCCCGCTCAGTTCTTGTCCCCAATGTTGCAAGGGGCTGTCATCCCAGGCAGGAAAATGATACCCTGGGTCTGAAAGGCGATAGTCCTGCTGGAGTGCTGTGAGAGCGACACTGCTTAGAGCAACACACAGCCTGGCGGAAACACAACTGACATTCAGAACAGGAGGATGCTAGGGTAGGCCAATATACAAGGTGTGAGAGGGTCATATCCTGTGTGAACAGATGTCAGATGATCACTGTGTTGGCAAGCTTCAGACAGACTTACAGGGGGCTTGGAAAGCCCTTGGGGGGCTGGGCAATATGGAGAGTCCATGTTTCACCCTCTGGGTCTGCATTGGCCTGGGTGGATGAAAGGATAAGGGGTTTCAGGATCCAATAAATGTTTTGCTGGGAGAATAATCCCAGTGTTGGTTCACGCCACCAAATATTTAGGGAACTCAGTTCCTGCTAATCTCTCCACTCCACAGGTGTTAATGACTCTTATCCCTTTTCTTGTGCTCCTCTGTTCCAACTATCCTTTGTTCTGCAATGGTGCTCTGTTAGGTGGTCCTGTTAATGCCTCTCAGAAAGAATGTGCTTATGGTACCTTTGAGGAGCAGTTTTTTTACTGGCAAGAAAGAAGGCAAGGCTGGAGGTGAATCATAGAGAATCATAGAGCCCTAGAGGGCTGGAAGGGACCTCCAGATGTTATAGTCATAGTCATAAAGAAGCAGGGCTGGAAGAGGCTTCCAGAGGTCATAGAGATGTAGCCATAGAGCCACAGAGAAGCAGGGCTAGGCAGGGCCTCCAGGAGTAATAGAGTCATAGAAAAGTGGGGCTATAAGGGACTTCCAGAGGTCATGGAGTCATAGTTATGGAGAAGTGGGGCTGGAAGGGACCTCCAGAGGTCATAGAGTCATAGAGAAGTAGGGCTAGAAAGAATCTCCAAGGATGATAGTCAGTTATAGAGTCATAGACAAGTAGAGTTAGTAGGGACCTCCAGGGGTCATAGAGTTATAGACAAGCAGGGCTGGAAGAGACCACCAGAGGTTATTGAGAAGTAGGGCTGGAAGGGACTTCCAGAAGTCATAGACTCATAGCAATCGAGTCATACAGAAGTAGGGCTAGAAAGGACCTCCAAGTATGATAGAGTTATAGTCATAGATTCTTAGAGAAGTGGGGCTAGAAGGAGCCTCCAGGGGTCATAGAGTCATAAACGTAGAGTCCTAGAGAAGCAGGTCTGGAAGGGACTTCCAGAGGTCATGTCTAGTCCAACCCCTGGCCTGAGGCAGGATCATCCCTGTCCAAACCACCCCAGATACATCCAGCATCTAAACCCTTCCTAAAACTACCATCAACCCTGGCACGACACCAGACATCACACCTGAATCTGCTCCAGGGAAAGCAGGGGGACCACAGCCACCAACGTCCTGCTGCTGTACAAGGTTGTTAATAGGTGCTCCAGAGATCCTAGGCAGACCCCGTGCCCCTGCTACAGAGGCAGGCAACCCCGCCAAGTCAATACCAATCTGACCAAAGGGAATATTCCTTCCTGACCCCAAATTTGGAATCAATTTGACCCTGAGCAGAGGGACAAGACCCTCTAGCCAGGGTCTGAGTCCCAGCAGGAGCAATGGCACAGCCCAGATGAAGTCAGGGGTGGGGCAGGAATCCAAAATTACTCTACTCCCAACTTAGCTGCACCTTGAGATGTCACAGTGGCCAGAAGAGAGGCGACAAGGACACATCTCAGGCAGATCTCCAAGCAACAGATACCGACATCCAGCGCTGGGAGGAACTGGCTGCCAACCGACTCCAATGGTGACACATCCTCAACCAAGGGACAGCCCGTTTCAAGGTACAGCGTCTTGCCCTCGAAGCAGAGAAGAGAGAGAGGAAGAAGGAAAAGGAGAAGAAACTCAACCTACAGTCTAGTCTCCCTTGCGGAAAGACCTGCAACATCTGTGGATGGATCTGGCTCAAGGATCAGACCCTTAAGTCACCTCAAGACCCATCAATGAGCCTCAGTAGAGATCATCTTCCAATGGAGGCATGGTTAACAATGATGTCACACCACAGAGCTGGGTTGGATGTCACATCCCGCAGAGATAGCAACTGGCCTGTGATCCACTATCCCCATGTCCAATGACGAGATGGTCACTTCAGTCTAGGTCAACGTCTAGCAGGCAGAGGTGTGCACTAGTCCCACTGTGCAAGTGACCAACCCAGATGAAGGACGGGTTGGGTCCTTTCAACCAATAGGACAACTGTATACAAATGAGTTGTGGACATATGACGCCTATGGTGGTTGTGATGTCACAATATGATGATGTCACAATGGCACTGCTTAAGTCTACTCCCAGCCCAACCAGCCAATGTTCATGCTGGGCTCTGGGGTTCAGCCCCAGGTTCTGGTGATCAGATCTCAGGGGCGATGCCAAGTTTCCAAACATTTCTGGGGGCTGCTGGTTCTCCTACTGCAGGGTGAGTGCAAAACCCAGTGATTTTGGGCTGAGAAAGGTGATTTGGAGAATGCGAAAGAGAGGAAGGAAAGGGGGAGAAGTGGCTGTGAGTGAGGGAGAGATGAATGGAGAGAGGATGATGGGAAGAGAACATGTGGTGGGAACAGGGGCAGATCCAGTCACACCGCTCTGATTCCTGCTCTGCCCAGACTTTAAAACTAAATTAGGCAGCAGCAGTGGCATTTCTATTCAAGCAGTGCTGATGGAGCCCATTGACTTGCACTATCATTCCCCAATTCCTGCTAATCTCTCTACTCCACAGGTGTTAATGATTCTCATTTCTTTTCTTTTTGCTCCTCTGTTCCAACTATCTTTTGTTCTGCAAAGGTGCTGTCTGTTTGTCACCCTGTTAATGCCTCTCGTAAAGCAGGGGTGAGTCCTGATGGTCCATGTGTGCCCACGGAGGGGGCTTGGGGTCCTCTGATATGGTGAGAAGGGTGACGCCCAGGGCATTGGGAGGTGACATGTGGGGACTTCATACACCCAACAGTGCTTGGAACCTTATGGCACCCTTGAAAGGCTCTCAAGGCAAGCCAAGATGCCACTCCTTAGATTCAGGGCATCCCTTGTTAAATTCAAGGCCCCTTGTTAGACTCAAGGCACCCTTGTTAGATTCAAGACACTCCTTCTTAGATTCAAGAGCCCCCCATTAGACACAAAACACCCCTTGTTAGACTCAAGGCACCCCTTGTTAGACCCAAGGAGCCCCTTGTTAGACTCAAGGCACCGCTCGTTAGACTCAAGGCATCCTCATTAGACACAAGACAGCCCTTGTTAGACTCAAGGAACCCCTTGGTAGATTCAAGGCCTGTCATTAGATTCAATGAAAGGGCCCCTGGTTGAGAGGCACTGGTGTATGGTATTGTGATATACAGGGCAGGGGCAGGGGAAGCGGGGTGGGGGTCGAGCCTGGGCTGGGAATGGGAAAGAAAACCAAAAGGAGCAGTGTCTTTTAAGGTCCAATGAGTCAAGGCTGCCAGAGGTAATGATTGAGGATCCTCCTCCAACCATTGCCAACCTCACTGCAGGGAGAGCTTGGACAGCCACTGGGCTGAGATGACCTAGGCAGAGCTAGGCCTATGCCCAAGGGAGTTGTGCATTCTCCATCACTGGAGGGTTCAAGGAGAGGCTAGGCAGGGATGATCTTGGTGTTTCAGTGCCTGTGCTCTGCTATGGGGATGTCCAGGTTGTGCTGGTTCTCCCCTTCCCCCCTTTCTGCTCCATGTGTCGCGGGGTTTTTAAACCTCCCACTTAGGTGCTGGCTGCAGCCCAGGCTGGGGGTGGGCACTGGGCTGTGCCAATGCTCCTGCTCAGACCAGCCCCTGGCTAGAGGGTCTTGCCCTTCACTCAGGCTCAGACCGATGCCAGATTTGGGGTCAGGAAGAAATTTCCCCCCTGGTCAGACTGGTAGGGACCAGCGGGTTTTGCCTCCCTCAGCAGCAGGAGCATCGCCCCTACCTGGGGTCTCTTGGGCGACTATTAACGACCTGTACTGCAGCAGGATGTTGGCGGCCGCAGTCCCCCTGCTTTCCCTGTGGCAGGGTCAGATGCAATGCCTGCTGTCGTGTCAGGCTTGATGGTAGTCTTACAAAGAGTTTCGGTGCTGGATGTGTCTGGGCTGGTTTGCACAGAGCTGATCCTGCCTCAGGCTCTACAACCTCTGCAAGTCCCTTCCAGCCCTACTTCTTGATGACCACTGGAGGTCCCATCCAGACCCACTTCTCTAGGACTTGCACCAGCCCTTATGGGGGGCACTGACTGAGCTGGGAAGAGTACCCAGGTGTCCTAGAGCCAGGTCCTGCCTTCTGGACCGCACCCTTGTTAGCGCAGGATAGACCCTGCGGGCTGTTCACATGCTGGGAGAACTGCTCTCCGTGTCCGCAGAGCCCCCGAGGCCAGGCCCAGGGACCTGGGTTCTCACAGCCGCTTGCACACAGGTTGGAGGTGCAGTGGTTGCAGCAGCACAGGGCTGGTTTTGTTCGGGTCTCTTCCTCTTGCCCCCCGGCCACGACACAGCTGCAGTCACAGCCAGGGAGTGGCCTTGGCTTCGCGGGTAACAGCTGGGACTTGCTGTACGCTGTCGAGAAGGTCAGGCAAAGCTGTGAAAAGATCGAGGGCACGGCACGCCTGGGCCTGCAGAGAACAGGAAGGCATCAGAGGCGCTGGGGGGAGCTGGGTGGCAGGGATTGGGCCCAGACGGAGGGGGGCACGGGGAGGAGGCTGGTTTTCACATGCCTGCCTGGTGTGTCGTCCCCCAGCCCCGATGGGATCTCAGCTGTGGGAGGCGATGGCCCTGGCTGCAGTTGGCCTTCTGGGAGGTGAGTATCAAATGGTCCTCGATGCCTCAGAGATCTGCAAGCTCCCATGAGTCTCAGCAGGACATGGTCCCTGGGGCCTGAGTGAACTGGGAGCCTGCATCCTATTTCCATTCATGTCCAACGGCTTAAGCTGCATTCGACTGTGGGACCCGGGCTCCCCAATCCCTTGGGGGCCCTTCATGCCTCAAATCACATCCCTCCCTATGAGCAGCCAGGTCCAGGCCTCCAGGGTCCCCTTGAGGCCCGCAGGGCTGCACGGCACCCCGACACCGCACGGTGACCCCGGCGTCCCCTGACAGCGGCCCATGCTCAAGCCCAAGGGGCGAGTCTAACGGCCGGGCCCTGTCCAGGATGGCGATGCTGCCTCGTTCCTACAGCTGCCCGCACGGGGAGCAGGTCGCTGCGGGGCTGTGGATACAGGACCCCAACCCCACCGTGTGTGGCGCGGACGAGACGCGGAGCAGCGCCGGTCCCGCTCCCTGGCCGCAGCCCCACAACCGGGGCTGGTCCCGTGTTAGGAGCTGGACCCTCGAGCCGGAGGCGGGACGGCCGCTCACTTGGGGCTGCGATGTGCGGTGTGAAGGGTGTGAAGCCCCCACGGGGCTGGGAAGCAGTTGCAGGCAGCTGGCGTGCGGCTCAAGGCGGCGGGAAAAGGCCGGGCCG